TTACTGGAGAACTCTGCAAATTGAGTTTAGATTAATTAGATGTTATCTCCTTGGCCGGGTTTGGTGTATCTTGTTATAAAGTATGCTATAGCCAGTAATGACTGTGTTGCTTCTAACAGCAAGTTTGTGTGGAGTTAGAACATTGGTAAATTGTTGGTAAATTTTCATCACAGAGGTATAAACATGGAACTGAATATGCCAGAGTTATTTGACCAAAATCTCACCAGAAAAAAGGCCGGATTTGCCAAGCCTACAGAGTTTGGCAAATTTGGAGATGAAATCCTCCAGTTTCAGTTGCTAGTCCTCCGTTACAACCCACTCACACACACACCAAGCCAAACTGACAAAACAAGTATCATCGCATATGCCAGGTTATGCAATAGAGAGATACAAATACTTGCTCTCACAGATGTCTGCGCATTTACACATCATCGTGCATTCCTGCTGGCTTGCATTTATTCAAATGTATTTTTCATTCTACAAAGAGACAGTTTTCAGATGTATTGATATCGGAGGATTTGTAATGTCGCTTTTTGTGTTTTTCCATGTGGGTGAATGCAATCTAATGAACTTTGAAATGGACTCTCTTTCAATGTTTGAGGGTATAAGAAAAGAACATTTGTGTATTGATTGTGGGAAAAAAGAATCTGTAATATTTTATTAGATCTAATAACCCAGTCAGTGGTGAATGGATTTTTTCCCTACTGGTTGAATCGATAGCAAGGTATCACCATTACTCATTCACAGTACTTAAACTGAAGTGACTGACCCCTAGAGGATGATAGCACAACTACACATGACTTGTATTTTTTAATTCATCTTTTTTTTTATTGCATTCAAATTTGATCAGACCATGTAAAAGACAACTGTATACTAATGCTTAAACCTGATTTTATGTCTAAATTTGAATGTATAGTTTCTCCAATCCCAGTTAATTGTGTAGAGTAAACTAGAAGTAATTAATTGACTGATTTCCCAGAGTCTGTAAATACAGTGACTCTGTGGCAAAATCAAAGCATTGTTTATTGGGCTGTAACATTTGTCAACATCTGGCTCAACCAATGGTGTTAGTGCAGAGGCGGGACCATCTTTTTGTCTGTTCAATAGAGTGGAACAGTGCCCTCCTACTTTCTCAGCAGCTTTGGTTCTGGAACTATATATATATATATATATATATATATACAAAGGTGCAAAAATGTGTAGTTAATGGCTTTAATAAGGCAAATAATTACAATCCCATAAAGCATTGCACATTTAAAACAATGGAGAAATATAAAATGTTTATTGCGTTATATTCACACAGATATTTCAGTAGTTTGAGAGCGCAGGGAAACTAACTCTACGTCATTTGCAGTGTTTCATGGGAGTGGGTGAGCGCTAAAGTGTTCTTTTGGCACAATTTGCCACAATTTTCTGATTGGTGGACATTTCTCTTCAAAATTAATGTAGTTTTTCGCCTGGAATTCCACTGTTGAACAGTTATAAGTGGGAATAATATGAACTGATAGCTTCAACGAAAGCATATTGATTAACAAACTCGTAGTAGGTCTATGTAGAAAAGGAATGGGATTATTCATTTTGGAGCCCAAAGTCGTGATTTATAAAAGAGGGAAAGGTGCAAAGGGAGTAAAAGGAGGGGTTTGGATAGCTGTGAGGAAACAAACAATCCTGGTTCAGGAACAGTATATATATACAGTATATATATTGTTTTTACAATAACATATTGATAAATTGCCATTGTTTTCTTATGCCGTTATCACCTGCTACTCTGTATTAGTTTCACTCTTGCGTGAACAACTAGGGAATAAATTGTATCGCAATGTGTATCATTCCATCACCTATATTCAGCCTGAACAATAAAGTAAAGTGACACCCACCCCCATAAAAACACAAAAACACGTTGCATCCAAGTCTATGCAGTTGATTTGTTTGGGAAGTCTTCGGTTTTCCCTGTAGGATATTCATTTGTCGCATGTTGTTTATGCACTAATCTTTGTCATTCCTCTCTGAGAGGTATTCTTGTGCTACGCACATCCAATCAGTCATCTCTGCCCCAAGTACTTATAAAATGCATTCGGCCCAGACAGGTGACCAGTCAAAGAGCGTTATCCATCCCTTTGTCTGACCGAGCTCGCATTCCGCTGCCACGCTTCCCATTTGACAGACTCGATTTATAATGTCACGCTGACACCCGTAAAGTACAAGCTACCTCATTCTCTTCTCCTCCACTTGAGGAGTGTGAAATTCATTAGTTGAATGGTTATAAAGAGATTAGGAATGTGACGTAATGGATCTCAATTATGATTTATTCAGTCTGGTTGCATGAGAGAGCTGCAGCTGGATCTCTTGAATATGAAGAGGCGTGCAAGAGAGTGTGTTTGTATGCAGTGTTTTTGTTTGTGTGTCTTTTTATGTGGAAGCAGCTCATTCATGCCAAGAGACTCCGAGAGTAGCGCTACTTCCAGTTTTTTTTTTTTTTTTTTTGGCATATTATTGTCATCATACAAATATTGTTTCTTTTTTCATTGAGCTGTTTGGTTGTTTGGATAGTAGGTTGGTCTGCATTGTGTTTATTTTTACTGGTGTCTCATAGCACAATTTTTAGTAGTATTTTTTCTAGCTTTATATGTAGCTAAGTGGAATAAAGTAGATATGAACCCATAGCCTTCATTCATTCATCATGTTTATCTGTCAGGACGCTAGATGAAAAACTGCTCATGTTGCAGACAGGTAGATTTTTCCTCCTCTATTGTATTGTCTCCTCCTTTATTTTTCTCTCATTCCCATTCCTCTTCTAAACACACACACACACACATAAACTGATGTTTTCTCATTCTTTCGGTAGCTGTAGTTGTGATACACTCCTGGCCCCATGTGCGAGTAGCAGATCTGTGAGGTTTCTACCTGCCTGATTTAACGCACATTTAATGCGTCAGCCATATAAGGCTAAATATCTGACAGAGTTTCATAAAATTACAAGTAGTAATCTGTATTTATTGTAATAATAGTCATTGGAGTGAATGCACTAGACACTTGTGGTATTTCAGTGCAAAAATTTCAATTTCATCACAAACCACCTGTAGTCCAGTTTAACCAGGTATTAAGATAGCAGCATGGGATTTTCAGTTAAATCAGTTCTTTTCAGCGTAAACATGCCCACTTTTTATGTAAATTAGGCTTATAGATCTGCAGCTTATTCATAAAAGTAAGAACTGTTTACTTGTTGCAATTAACATTGCACTATTACCCTCCACTGAAAGTAGCCAGTTAACTAAATTGTTTTAAAGAGATGTTTGTGTACCTCACATGTAATCAAGTTCTTTCTACTCTGACACACATTTAGAGTAAACTCTGAAATCTCCATATGCAATATATTGTATACAGTATATTAAACCTGAAAAATCAGATTGGATATTTCAGAGTTTACTCAAAAAACATTTGCATATTTATATATACACTTTTCAAAGGTTTTTTTTTTTTTTTAATGTTTTTGAAAGAAGTCTCTTGCGCTCACCAAGGCTACATTTATTTGATAAAAAAAGAAAATGTTTACAATTTTAAAAAGCTGTTTTCAATTTTAATACTTTTCAAAAGGTATTTCTGTGGTGGCAAAGCTGAATGTTCACCATCATTACTCCAATCTTCATTGTCACATCAGAAATTTACTTCAGAAATCATTCTAATATGTAATATTTCTCGTTATTATCAATGTTGAAAATGGTTTTGCTGCTTAATTTTTTTGTGGAAACTGTGATGATATTTTTCTGGATTCTTTGATGAATACAATTTCAAAAGGACAGCATTTTGTTTTAAATATATATATTTTTTTGCATGAGTGTAAAAGTTTTACTGTCACTTGTGATCAATTTAATGCATCATTACTGAATAAAAATATTATTTTTTTGTTTTTAAAAAATCTTACTGGCCTCAAACTTTTGAAAAAAGTGTATATTTATTTACTATTTTAGAGACTAGATTCGATATAAGAAAGGCAATATTTCAATATTTTTAAAGGTATTCACCTAGATATGGTACTTGCAGAGCTAGTAAATCTTGCACATTTGTTTAGTACTGTAAATGAGAAACACAAAACATATGCTGTTTTGGGTTAAACACCGCAATTTAACAAAATAGCATATCTTAAACTAAACAGAACCATAACAGTACTATCAACCATATTAATTACCAACAACTATTGTTTATACTCTTTATAAGACCTTCAAACTGCATTATGCATTAAAAAAAAGCAAAAGCAAAATTTACTTATTTTTTATTTCCATTCTGTCCTGGCCTATCTCTCTCTCTCTGTCTCTCTATGCCTAGTGAGGTTTTGAGCTTCTCTCTGGATGGCATTGTAATGACCCATTATCGCTATGGATACTGCGATAACTGACCTCTCCTCTCGGCGTAATTACCAGCCTTTTCATAACGTTAAAATGTCAATTATAGCCACGACTAGGCCTCTTCAGAGCTCTCGCTCTCATTTTCTGTCTCTCGCGCTTTCTTTTCTCCCCAATAAAGGAGTGTTTTCTCCTGAGAGGAATGTGTTCTCATGCTAAATATTTATGCGGTAAATACTCGAGGAGATGAATTCAGAGAGACCCAAACCCACATGAAGACCCATTAACCCTCTCTGAATGTGATGAAATGATTGCATAATTGAGAATATGATAATTAATCTCTGTCAAAGCCGAGTAATCGCGAGTTATGAAACATCACAGTGCCAGCAGGCATCAGCTTTACATTAGAGAGACTTGCCTTTCCCTGCAAATCAATTTATTTCAGATTGTTATTTTCAAATCAATTTATCTGTGTTTGTGGTGGATTTCAACTGTATTCCATCCAACATTTTATTAGGAGAGTAAAAGGACAGGCCTGAAAAGTTCCCAAAATTGATTTGGGAAAGTTTCGAATGTATTTCAAATTTTATAGAAATATATTGTAATGGGATTAATTTACATTTATATAGAAATTAAACAGCAAATCTCTCTTTCATATAGGACACAGAGATCCTGAACACAGCAATTCTGACTGGACGGCGCGTTGCCATGCCGGTTAAGGTTGTTTCTGTGGAACAGGACGGAACGGTGAGAGAGGTAGATGACCCCTTGACCTGCATCTCCACAGATGAGGACGTCCTCAAGGTGAGAGCTCACCTGCTTTATTTTGTGTTACCTTCTTCATCCTCTGCCCCCCGCTCTCCATCAAACGTTTAGACAGGTGGGGCCTTGCATCGGCGATAGATTTCATCTTGCAAAAAGTAGAAACGAAAGGTTCCAGGGTGACTCTGGGAAGCCCAGAGTGGTGGCAGAGAGGAGATGAACAGACAAGAGAAACAGCGGGTGCCTGTGAAAGGTGTTTTTCCCTCCACACAGTTATTCTTTTTGGTGGTTTTGAAAAGCACACATACACAAAAAGACATTTCAGAACAGAATAATTGTCTGGAAGACAAACGCGAGATTTGTCACATTGCATGAAATGACTGAGCCCAGGCAAATTAAGATATGAAAGGTAGCAGAACCCCCCCAACAAAAAAAAGAGAGAATGAAGGAACTACAAGGATGAAAAATTCTGATGTAACAGGAAGAAACACCTTAAAAGATAAACAAGCCAGCCATGTCATACCTGTCTGTTTCTTCAATTCAGCAAGTAGTTATTGCTGAAGATGTTTACAGTGCACACTGGTCATTTTACTGGCCTTGTGGCTTTGGGTTTATCTGGTCCTAACTGGACGAGTTTCATAGATTTATTTATTTGTTTATTTTTTAACGTTTCTCTGTTGAAACATTGCTAAATGTCTACTATGTAATGTAAGGGATTTTGAGTTTTTTTTGAAGTAGGCTACATTTATTTAAAGGTACACACTATGTAATTTTTGGCCCTCTAAGGGTTAAAGAAATAAACTATAAAAAGCATGCATTTTGCAGAAGAACAGTGGGACGTTACTGTAGCTTCAGAATAGATAATGCTTTACAATGAACTCTGTTAGAGATAGTGTAGATATGTGATGCGATCTAGGCAAATCCGTCGGATGACGCGCTGCTACGTTTTCAGTAAGGTCTAAAAACAGATCGAATGTCAGTTTTTTGTCAAAAATGTGTTTTCAATAAATTATTATTCTATAACATCTATTCTACAGTATAACATCTTGTCTATCATCTCTGATTATATCTTGGGAAAATTCACTAGTTTAGTGCAGAAAAATTGCGATTTATACTAGCAAGCTGAAAACGTCTTTCTCTTCAAGAACACGGACGGCGCAGCAGAGTGGCAAAAGACAACAAAAGCACTCATTTAGCTCTTCTTCTCTTAACACTACAAAGACAGTTCACCTATCAAAATAAACCACATAACAGAATAAAGGTCCCACCAGTCCTGTGTAAACTACAACGCCACGCAAGTTTTCATTTGTTTGTTTTTATCCAGCGTTATCGTGTGGTGTGATGCGGAGAACAACAAAGTCTGAAGCTGCTCTCTTAAAAGATCTTGCTCGCCTCTCAATCGTCCAATTTCAAAACGGTTTTCAAAGGATTCATTTTGTAAGCTTTCGAATGATACCTAATCTATGATGATTACTAAAATATGTGATATGGAGAAAAAAAAAGGCAATAGAAAAAAAGCGGCAGTCGTCCCGCTAGCAGGACGTGACAATTAATTAAACCTGTTTTTCCTCAAAATTCCGTTTCTGAAAATCATAGTGATCAAACGACTTCGAATAACCACACATTTTGTTACAGACGAACGATAAAAGAAACAAAAACAGATTTGGAAAGGGCTTGAACCCAGCTTTATGTTCTCAAAACCTGTAATGTGTCAAATTTCACCATGTGGTCGCATCACATATGGCAATTCTGTTCAAATATCTGATGGCAATTCTGTCAATTCTGTTCAAATATGGCAAATATGTTCAAATATCTTACTCACCTGGTTAGTAATAATAACGCCATCTCCGCTTCGCCTCTCTCAGTCCCTCAGTTCTCTCCATCTCCGAAAAGCCAAGTCAACCTTTTTATTACGAGCTCTGTCACATTCTCTTTTTGTCAGCAGACTCTTTTTAAAAATGGGTAATTCTCCAGAGGTTTGAGATTTACCGTGCTCCATGTCCACCTTTATCGCTCGTTGTGTCAAATAACCTATGCCACTCCCACACCACGTGTCAAAGTAGCCCGAGTTACTTTTCTCGATTTACAGACATGACGAATCATGCAAAGACAAGTGCCGTATGTAAAGTGGAGCCAAAAAGTATTTAGTCAGCCACTGATTGTGCAAGTTCTCCTAGGTCTGTAATTTTCACTATAGGTACATTTCAACTATGAGAGACAAAATTAGAAAAGAAATCCAGGAAATCACATTGTACGATTATTAAAGAATTTATTTGGTCAGCCACAAACTAGCAAGATTTCTGGCTCTCACAGACCTGTAACTTTCCCGTCATGTCTAAGATATTACACTTAAATTAGGCTTACCATAGTGAAGCAGGGTTAGATAAAAAACTTTTTTGGAAGGATTTAAGATGTATTGGTTATCAGTTTGGTTAATTCTGGGGGGGATGGGTTACATAGTGTAGGCCTACCTTCAAAAGATTACTATAGACCATACTGTAAATTACTCTTACTCTGTTTCTTTTGTAAAATATAAAAACACTTGCTTTTTTGGGCCGATAGTCAATTTTACCCTTGGGGGTTGCGTGAAAGTAACATCAGAGCCTGTGTTGTCATGCTCTCCTGAGCTCTGAGCTAATAACTGAACCTCCTCCGATGCTGAGGCAATTTCCATTTACAAGCAGCAATATGTAGTTTAAATACAATCAATACCCAGTAACAATGAAAAACTCATTCCAGAGCTTTAATGCAAAGTTGAACAACAAAGCGTGTTATTAAGGGAATTACAGGACGCTCATTTTCTGTTGGTGTTGTAATGGGGGGAGAGAGCATCAGGACTGCAAGAGAATCTGCTTCATGACAGAAACATGTGGTGGGGAAATTGCGGCAGGTGTACCTGTCTACTTGCAGGTGTCATAAAGATGTGTGCTTGAACTCCGGGTGACACGCGTGACAAGTGTAAACAGGAAACATGTCAGCGTTGCTGCTACTGAGGACGAGATACAGAAGTGCACCGTCAGGATAAACTCAACTACGAGAAATGTTCAGATTCTAGTATACCCCAGCTTTATTTGTACAATATAAAAATAACCAATGCTCGCAAACATACTTTCACCACATTCTCTTTCAATGGCGATAAATGAATTAATTCAGGGTTGAGCTAAAGGATAATGGTGTCTTTTACAAAAGATGTCACCTTGTCACATTGCCACCCTGCAGGTTCAGGTGTGAATGCGATCTTATCTTTATCGTCGCACGCTGTGGTTAATCAGTTCAGCGTTTGTGTGGGTTGAAGGGCTCTCGTAATGATGACTGATCAAATAAATAAAGGAGTCGGCTAAAGAGATCCCATAGGCTTTAGCGCTCAAATCCCACTGTTTAACCAGCGTCTGTGAGAGCGAGGCCATGGCCTTAATTGGTTCCTGCGAAGACTCCCTCAGTAATGTCTGCGATAATTGAATTTGACAAAGAACAAGAAGGACAGAGGCATGGAGGAAGGGGTGAGAGAATGTGTGTGTGTATACATGCTCAGACACATGGGGACACACAAAACAAAGAGGATTATAAATCAATCTTTCACATCCTCGCCCCTTTTTCTCAGTCTTTCACGGTGTGTTTTACTCTCTGTTGTAACCTGTTCATTTATTGTGGAAAATCATCTGGTTTTACTGTATTTCGGCTAGTGTAGACACTGCAGGTGTCCTCTATGTAAGAGAGAGCACAGTGCGGAGAGGTGTATGGTGCTAATCCGTTTAATAACTCATTCACTTTGCAGTGACTGGCAGGCAGATATCCGGCGAGCCCGTAATCGTGTAAAAGTCTGATCAGGTTAGGCGCATCAAGACTGCTCCTATTCTCAGGTTCAGCTGAGCAAGACAGAAACTAAATATGTTTGTCAAGAGAGAGGTAAAGAGTTGCAGTGTGTGTGTGTGTGTGTGTGTGTTCATTTTAAATGATTTATCTTCAGAAAGCATTAATTAGATATGATCAATCTTTCATTAAGATTACACAGTCTTTTATCTAAATTAATAAGTGATTATTGATAAAAGATTTGGATAAAAGCATTTGCCAAATGCATGAATGTAAATGCAATTCCCGAAACATTAGAATCCAGATCATTAAGAAGTCTGAATTCATCTGTTTTCATTGTTTTTTTATATTTTTAAAGGTTTTTTTGCAGTTGAGTTTTGTCCAAAATATTATTTTGGGAAGAAAATTATGCTTAGCATATTGCGTTATTAGGGAGAACAGGGCTAGCTGTTACTTTTAAATCCAGCAAATATTGCTTAGGGTGAGTTTATTTGTTAAAAGTCAATTTTTGTATAAGGCACATACCTCAAATTCTTGGCTATCAAACAGCTATTGAACATTTCCACCGTTTTTGTCCAAGGTTATATGATACTGTTCATTGAATACTTGTCACAAAAGTTGTCAAAATATAATCTGTCATTACAGACATTTATCCACCTTATTATAATGTAAACGTAAGCTAGTTCTTGTGAATGTGTGAGACTTATAGGTAAATATATTATAGTTAAATAACTAGAACAATAACAAAGTAATTCTTTATCATTTTAATAATAAATAAAAATAGTATGATTACAAACACTAATTTGCAACATCAAGCAGTATAACAAACTGTTTTGTGTAAGGTTTTTGGAAGCGACTGACACCGCAATCCTTGCATATTCAAGTTTTCTGTATCCTCTCTTTAAAAATAAGGTGGATATGCTTTTTTAGGGAAATTTAAACAACAAACAAATATTAATAAATAATGTGAATTTTTTAAACATTTATAAACAACTAGACCCATCTCTTTTATATGGTTACTGCTCTATTTTCACACGGGTGATTTTGATATGGTTAGAAAAGAGCAGGATCTTATAGTGCATAATCAGAAAAATTTCAATATAATGTGGACATAAACTGCTTATTACCTCCATAAACATCCCAGCAACTAATCAATCACCGCAGCGCCCTTTTAAAACTATATAGATCTAGCTTTTTTTCTGAGCTTAGGATGTACAGTGGATATGGCTAAG